GGGTCGGTGATGAAGCCCATGCTCGATTTCCTGGAGCGGACGGGATCGTACCTCACCGTCAACGCCTATCCGTTCTTCGCGTACGCCGACGAGCCAGACAAGATCTCCCTCGACTACGCCCTGGGGAACTCCAACTCCGCCGGCGTGCGCGACCCCGTGACCGGGCTCGTGTACCACAGCCTCCTGGACGCCCAGCTCGACGCCACGTACTTCGCGATGGAGAAGCTGGGGACATCCAGTTCCGGTGCGCAGGAGCACAATTCCATGGCGCGAAACGGTCCGCGTGCGTATGTTTCGGAGAGCGGGTGGCCTTCCGCCGGCAGACTCAAACCCGGCGGTAGGCCACGCCCACGCGGCGGCGGGAGGCGTTGTTTGGAGCAGGCTGGCGATGACGCGGCTTCGGTAGCCAACGCCAAAGCTTACAACAACTACCTCATCAACCGCGTGGTGTCCGGTGACACGGGCACCCCGTACCGCCCCGACGCCGACATGGACGTGTACGTCTTCGCCCTCTTCAACGAGAACCAGAAGGGCGACGGAGCGGACGACATCGAGCAGCACTTCGGCCTGTTCTACCCGAACCAGACGAAGGTGTACGAGTTCGATTTCCGGGGCGGCGCTCTGGCGAGCTGGTGCGTGGCGAACGCGTCCGTCGGGGACGCGTGGCTGCAGACGGCGCTGGAGTACGCGTGCGGCCACGGCGCCGACTGCGGCGCCATCCAGCCCGGCGCGCCGTGCTTCGAGCCGGACACCAAGCTCGCGCACGCCTCGTATGCGTTCAACAGCTTCTACCAGCGCAACGGCCGGGCCAAGGGGGCGTGCGACTTCGACGGCGCCGCCTACGTCGTGTATCACGAACCAGCTGGTGAGTTCTCGACGTCTCGCCACTTCTCTTTCCCTTTGTCCCCTTGTCCTAGTAGTATGGCAACATCTCACCATCTCATGGTGTCCTCGTGCACTGGTGTATGTATCGACGTAGGCACCTGTGACCCGAACGTGAGCTGGTGCGTGGCGAATGCGGCGGTCGGGGACGCGCGGCTGCTGGCGGCGCTGAACTACGCGTGTGCCAACGGCGCGGACTGCAGCGCCATCCAGCCCGGCGGAGCGTGCTTCGAGCCCGACACCGTGGTCGCCCACGCCTCGTACGCGTTCAACAGCTACTACCAGCGGAAGGGCCGGGGCAGCGGCACGTGCGACTTCACCGGCACCGCCTCCGTCGTCTACCACGCACCAAGTGAGTCCACGATTCTTTCTTTGCTCGCATTATTGTTCTCTCCAGCTGTTCCTCACTACTGAAAGTCTGAAACGCGTCCCACGTGGGGGATCCAGACATCCAGTGAACTGTAAATCTCACTGTTCTTTGCTTCTCTATTTACCGCACGGACAGTATATTTAATACTTTATGTATGCATATGTTCAAACATCTGATATGAAGTATTAAATCTAGACTTAAAAAATAACTAATTACACAGATTGCAACTAATTTATCAGACGAATTTTTTAAACCTATTTAGCCATGATTTGACAACGTAGTGCTACAGTAAAACTATAGTAAATATGTGCTGGTCGTGGGTTAATTAGGCTTATAGATTCGTCTAGTGGATTACTGAGGACTTCTGTAATTTATTTTATTACTACTATCCGAACACTCTCGTATGACACCCCGATGTGATACCCGATATGACACTCCTAAACTTTAACCTCTGAATTTAAACACCACCGGAAACTTCACTCTCTTTTTTTCTTTTGAAAAGAACAGTGAACTCCACTCTCACTTTTTTTGTTTTGTTCTCTGTTTACCTCAGAGATTGGAAACTGCGTCCTCCCGTCGAACGCTTGGATTCAAGAAACAACAGCCAAGTCTGAAGGATACACTGCCATCTGATGCTCCATAGTAACTTTCAAGAAAAGTTCAATTTGACCTTGCATAATATTGCACTAGTAGAAATGTAGAAAAGTGTAAAGCTAAGCATCTGCACATCAGAATAACAGATGCCTTCGCTTGCTTTGCTTTGCGGATACTCATGAATCATTGTTCCTATTTTCCTGAGGTGAGGTGGATCCCCTGCTAGGTTTGGCTCCGGCTTTATCGTCACTGTAGCTATACTTTAATAAGAAGCTGGTTTTATCTCTATTCACAAAATGAACTAGACCCTTTAAAGCTTTTTTTTAATTATTTTTCATCGTTTTGCACTGCAGCAAAGAGTCAACGCCCCCCAAAAAAAATCCTACCAAACGTACCCTTCGGTTTAACTTCTATATAGTTCACACGTGTCACATTTTAAATATTTATTATCGTCAGTCAAAGAAAGTCAATAGGCTGGAGGTTATAAAACTGTTTTCCTTGGACCGGGAAATTGAGAGCAACTATCATATGATCACACACGGGTTAAGACATGCCATGTGTCCATGGCCATGTGATAATTCCTGTCTTTCCGGTTTCTCCTCTCTGGCTTCCTTCCTTCTCACGAGTCACGACTCCCTAGAGCCTAGTAGAGCCTAGAGGCAACAAGCCAACAAGTCGGTGCGAAGCACAGGTGCTGTCACTTCGGTGTTGGATCATGCAAAGATTACTTTTAGATCTTTAATTAAGGACTCGTTTAAATCCAGGGTGTAAAGTCTTAGGACGTTACATCGAATGTTACATAGGGTGTCGCATGGGGTGTTCGAATACTAATAAAAAAATAAATTACAGAATCCGCCAGTAAACCACGAGAAGAATTTATTAAGCCTAATTAATCCGTCATTAACACATGTGTGTACTGTAGCACTACATTGTCAAATCATGGACTACTTAGGCTTAAAAGATTCGTCTCGCAAAATAGTCGTAATCTATGCAATTAGTTATTTTTTAGTCTATATTTAATATTTCATGCATGTGTTCAAACATTCGATGGGTAAAGTCACATACTTCAAACATTCGAGTGTCCAGTTAAGAACCCCACAGGATAGCATGCTTCATCCTCTGTTTACTATCTGACTATCCGGATACCTAAGCACCAGGCAGAGAATTTGTAGTTGCTCTTGGCTTTCATTTTGCTTTTCCTTTTCATTCTCTGTATTCCCTCTTTTCATTTTCACACACATTTTTCTTTGGAAAGCACCACCAGGTGTAGAACGGGGGGATCGAACCCCTGCCGACCAGCTCCTCCCTTCGAGCCTTCACCACTCAGCTACATGCACATCCGTTTTTTTCAGACATTTCATACTAATATAGCACAAGTCCACCAAACCATGTTCGCTCCTACACTAGCTGTTAATTTAATAGAGATATGATAAAATTTTATGGATAAATTTTGGCCCAAAGCTCATCAAAATTGCATATATTTGCACCATCTAATTTGTTCATATTATAACACAATATTCACATTGATTGATACATCCTTATTTTTGTTGGTGGCAATAAACATTAGTTACCATTTACTCTATATGCTTTTCAATCTCTATTCATAGTTCTCTCCTTTGCATCACTCTCCCATATGTAGTTGGCATGTATTTTGTTGAAATCTTAGTTTGGGCAATTTGTTTGACAAAATAGTTATGATCATAGCTCCGTACATAGATGTGTATCAGTATATATGGAGTAAATGCAGCACGAGCCAAAACCAAAAGATACAGAAATAGACCAAATGAACACAGATTGAGTTGCAATTTTGCACAGACCTCTACGAGGAATTGAAGGTATCTGTACAGTTTCAACTTAAAAATACAAAAGCATGGGTAGAAAATCTAAGAAAAGGTTTTCCAAAATGGGGTTTTCTCCATTTTCAATCCAAGTTGATTTCTTGGTGCTCGTGGGAAAATTGTTTAAACCAGTGGCTAAAGATGTTTCCACGAGGTCATAGCATCATAAGATCAACCCAAAACAATCCTAAAAGCCTCAGATCGAAGAACTTTCAAAGATCTCCCAAAAACGAACCTAAAATAAAGGGAAGAGGAGAAGTGAAAGATCTAACTCAGAGTTTCAGAGGACAACTTGATTGATTGGTCACGAAAACATCTTTACAAGACCAGGTCTACCCTTTCTCCCTTCATCCTCCCTCTAGAAAGTGGAAAATCAGAGCAAGAGGTGCTCACCCTCTCTACTTCTAATCTTCACTAAGCAAGATCTACTTGGCTAGCCTAAGGAAATAGACTTAGGTGAGAGAGATAACTGTCTTGGGCAGCCACTTTCCTTATTTATAGGATTATTACACATTCCAAGACTACCTCTAGGTATTTGCCTTGAACCACTTAGTCACAGGGGCAAAATGGTCCAGAATGGATTTCAAGCATCGGACGGCCAAGGGCCCTTCATGAAGCCGCTTTGCCTCGATGCAAGCCCTCGGATGACGCCACGTGCCGACCTGACATCCTCTCTTGGTTTTTGAGGTCTAAAGACGGCAAACCTGTCACCCGCGATTTTGAGGCCCAAACCGCCAAACACACTTGGTGTCGCATAGCTGCTATGCCGTCTCCACGATGTCGACGCATGTCCCGCTCGTCCAATCACCAAGTGCTCGTGCGCTCGCCTTGACTTTGTTCAATCGTCGTCTTGACTTCGGTCAACAACGTCTCCATCACCATCTTTGCATGTACACTCGCTTGTCGACGTGTCTAAGTACTAGCTGTCCATGGTCCATTCTCTGGCCCCGCTTGGTCCCTCAGTCTAAGCCTTCGTGTCCGCTCTTCACCATCCCTGGTCTATCGCGCCCTCGCTTGACCTTCTCCATTGCCAATAGTCAACACCTTGCACACCACAAAAAGAGACATTTTGCGCACACACACCTCACCCGTGGTTAGTCTCACGCACACCTAACCAAATCTCCGATCTCTTCTTGACAATCAGTCATCACTTATATGTGACATATATCAACCATGAGTTCGGTTTTTTTTTCAGTAGGCGTATGCAAAATTTCAGGTTGAATCAAAGCTTACGCAGCTTATTAGTTGATATCATACATTTTGGTAACAGGGTAACGGTACATATATGTTCCCAATTCTGGACTCCCATGGCCAGGCTAACCACTCAACGACACCGTCGACACGGCTGTGTTGGCGCTGTTGTTCCTGGCGAAGAATCCCGGCTTGATGGAGCCTGGAGGGTGACCGTGTCGCTGCCGAGCATCATCACGACCGACGACATCACCGGCCGGGCCGCGGGGTCTCCCTGGACGCAGAGCAGCCCGATGTGGATGCACCTCAGCACGTCGCCCTCCGGGAAGCCTCCGCCCAGGGACGGGTCCACCAGCTCCGCCACCGTCCCGGCCTCCCAGTGCTCCCATACCTGCTCATGGATTTAATTTGTAGCGTGATGAGCCAGCAAGCTGCAACGCAACTTACGTATAGAGCTGTATTCTTCGGTGTAGATATTGTACTTACTGTGGTCAAGAGATTGCAGCCGTCGTTACTGTTCTTCCGACCCGTTACGATTTCTAGCACCATGACACCGAAGCTAAACGCGTCCGACTTCACGGAGTAGTTCCCCCGCATCATGTACTCGGGTGCCATGTACCCACTGAAATAAACGAGGAAATCAAAGCAAAAGCTCATGCAGTTATTCAGATGAATAAATATTGAGCTTGCATGAAGCGGTTAATGGAAGCTGGTGTGTTTTTCAGCACTGACTAGGTGCCGACGACGCGGCTGGTGACGGCCTGCGTCTGGTCCCGGCCAAAGATCCTGGCCAGGCCAAAGTCTGAGATCTTGGGGTTCATGTTCTCGTCTAGCAGGATGTTGCTGGCCTTGAGATCACGGTGCACCACTTTGAGCTGGGAGTCCTCGTGGAGGTACTGCAGGCCCCGAGCGATGCCGTTTATGATCTTGTACCTCTGCCCCCAGTCCAGCTGTTCACGTTCCTGATTGTCCGTGTCTGATCACGTAGATCATATAAAGGAAACATATACAAGTGATCATCAATGTGATGATATGAAAATTTTGAGTAGACGCTTGAATTGAGCATGAGCCAGTCGATCCGTACGTACCGAATAGGATGAGATCGAGGCTCCGGTTGGGCACAAACTCGTAGACGAGCAGCCTCTCCTGCTGCTCCAGGCAGACGCCGATGAGCCTGACGAGGTTCCTGTGCTTCAGCTTGGCCACCAGGGCGAGCTCGTTCTTCAACTCCTCCACTCCCTGCGATGAGCTACTAGACAGACGCTTCACCGCTATTTCCTCGCCATCCGGGAGGACACCCTGTACACATGGAAACCATACATTGAGTGCTATGTTTCATGGATTTCTTTTCTTTTCAGTTTTCACTCCATAGTCATCTGGTACGTGTTTGTTCAGTGCTACCTTGTACACGGCACCAAAGCCGCCTTCGCCGAGCTTGTTGCTCTCATCGAAATCCCCTGTGGCGGCTCGTAGGGTGGAGACGTCCATCATCATGGAGTCCATCATTTCGATGTCCTCTGCTTCAGTGGAATACATGGGATCTGCGTACGTATGGATTGGACGATGAGTCATTTGTTTTCAGATCCTTCGAAGTGTGTTTAACGATGCGCAATTAACAGATAATTTTGAAGCAACATACTTTGGTGTTTGGCCTGTGCAATTAGTTGTCCCCGCCGCCTCCGGAAACAGAAGCAGGCGACAAGGTTCAAGGCTGCTAGAGTTGGCAGCACAACAGCAAGAGCCACCCAGGGCACATGGTACTTTCGGCCCCCTGTGAACTAACGATAGTGTTAGCAAACATCACGGGAAATATGTGTCACAAAGCTTAGATTCTGACAGAAATAGCACAAGCATGGACATATCCTTGTGAAGAAAGTTACAATCTATATACATAATAAAAGCAATGTATCAAGAAAAATTAAAACGTCTGGTAATTTGGAACAAAGGAGTCCTCTTTATAGTATTTGCTATAAAATATGGCTTTCACTCACCTCCATCCGTCGCAGGAACCCGAAAGTTCACAGCCGGAGCCGGTGCAGGCGCTTTATAGCTTGGTGATGCCAGCCGTACCATCGCCGGTCCATTATAGAAGGGCGTGCTCTCGTACCTGTAGGTGCAGCTGACGGCGAGCACCCTGCCTCCGATACGATTCTGGAATCCGTCCAGGGATTGCGATATGAGCCTGGAGAGGCACTTCCGGCACTGCGCCGGCGTCTGGTCCGGTGTGCACTGGGCCAGGGTGTAGACCTTGGGGAACTCCGGGTCGAAGCTGGTGTCAGCTTCGCCGGTCGCAAACCGCCGAGTGGAGTTGTACGCGGCGTAGTCGGCGGTGGCGTTCACGAGCACTGCCAAGAGGAGGATGAACTTGCCGGGGTCTGACGTGATGGTTTGAGTGTTGAGGGCGGCGTATGTATCGAGCATCGGGCCGGTGTCGTCGTCGGGGAGGATGTGCACGTCGGAGTAGTGAGCCATGCAGGGATCGTAGTAGATGCTAGCGTCCTTGTAGTAGGAGCAGTAGCCGGGCAGGTCCTGGAAGGCCTGGGTCAGGCAGCTGAAGCATGCCGTGGCGTTGACATCGCCGCGGCAGAGCCCCATGGCCCAGACCTGCTCCGGGATTGTACCGGCGACGATGGTTGCGAAGAGGTCTGGGGACTTGGAGGCATTTTTGGGCAAGGTAGCTGCGATGGAGTTGAGATGGGCCTGGTATGTGCCGTTAGGCGTAAAGTAGCTGCTGTCACCGCACATTGACCACGGGTAACCCGCGGCAGCGGCCATGAGCAGTGCGACGGCGAGGACTGCGGCCACGGGCAGCAGGTTCTTCTGAACCATTGAGGCATCGAGTCGAGGAAGGAAAAATGCACATTGCTAGAGGTTATGTAGAGTTGTAGACCGAGGCTATTCATCGTCCAACCCCTGCAATGGGGACGCACAGTGGCGTCCCTGCTACTCCCTATATATAGACGTTTTGGTATTTTTAGATATGTATAGATAGATTTTGTTATGCATTTAGATATATACTTTATGTTTAGGTATATGAGTAAAATCAATGGATCTAGCGAAGCTAAAATATCTTATAATTTAGAATTGTAGGAGTAGTTGATATTCTCTTTAGTTTTTTCCCCTCAAAATAGGTGTCTTAACACCGGGCCAATGTCTTTTTATTTCTCGAATACGCAAAAGATTTGCATAGCATTATATTAAGAAAAAGAGTTTAAACATACAGATAGCGCGCCTCTATCGAGCGCCTCTACCGGATCCGTGTCAAAAAGGCAAAATTGTGATTATGATGCCCACCTCCTAATTTCCACGAATAAATGGCTGCATTATTCTTATCCACGCCTTCCTTTAACAGATATACTCAAAAGTGTCCGCTAAGATTTTAGCCCATGCAAAAAGTACTGATTAATGGACTATCAAACTAATAATAATTTATAAATAAAAAATGAACATAACCAACATTTTACTATTGGTATTTTCATCACCGGTTTTATTAAAATAGGACGACGATATATTATCATTGCCGCTTTGGAACACGAACATCACCGCAGGTTCAAAACTAAAACTTACTATGAAAACTACTTAGTCATGATGAAAAGTGTCCAGAGCCTCTCTCCCTCACGTGTGTCCCAATATGTGTTTCTTTGTTATGCCGGTGTGTGGCAAACGACTAGATGCTCATGCGGAGCGCACTGATTGTAGGCCATACCCTCTCTCTCTCCTCAACCTTCATCTCTCTCTCTCTCCTTTAGCTCTCTTTCTCCTATTACTCCTTTAGCTCCCTTCCTCTCTCTCCACGGTGCGGAGGCAACATCCCAGTGTGAAGGTGAACCGTGGCGCTGTAGCGGCCCAGGCCCGAAGGTGACCCCAGCATGAAGGCGGCCTCCCTTCCCCCGTTGTGATGCGTCCGATGAGCAACTCCTCCGTCGGATAGTGTTCTTTTAAAAAATATTTTCACTGCTGCCCGTTATAGAAACCTGTAATGATAATAACTTATAGTGGGTCTCCTTACATAAACTCGTAATGACAATAACTTATATTTTCCACGGTTGCAAACAGGCGGTAATGACTTAGATTACTACCAATAAAGGTGAAAACCGGTGATAACGGGTCTCCTTATGACCTTATGAGCCGGTGGTCACGACTCATGAGCGTGAAAATATCTGGGTCGTCATATGCCAAACTTTATCTTCGTCAACGATAGTGAGGCCTTTTAGAAAGAAAAAAAACGATAGTTAGGCCCGTTCGCGCGTGCACTCATACATGCCAGTGCAGCTTCCCACACGGCACGCGGGCAACTTGTGAGCTGTGAACTGAACCGTACCTTCAATCACCTTTGGCGCGCGCTGCTTCAGTCCAAAGCCGCGACGACTTGAGTCATCGTTGGACAGAGCGCGCTCGACTCGTCGTGGACCAAGTCACCAAACCACGACTCGTAGGCACGGCAACGGGGCGGATTCGGATCGGATGGGATTCAGATCGGATGGAGTCTCTGTGCACCCGAACTCGAAATCCGAAACCGCACCGAACACCGATTCGGGTGATAATCCGTCCCTAAAACCGAATCCGCGGATACCCGAAATCTGAATGGATACCCGAAATCTGCTTTGTATGGCAATATAGTAAGAGAAATAAGGACTTTCTATAAACATATGCATGATATATATACACATATCCACATGTATAAACAAGATGCTACAAATAATAAATATTTTCATAATTCAACTTAGAATAAATTTAATAATATAAGTAAACAAGTTATTATTAGCATATTATAAAGGATTATAAAACATGAGTTTTAATTCCAAATGATTTATTTCGGATATCCATTGGATATCCACGGGTGGAAAACCGAACCCGATTGGTTTCGGGCCCCGAACCCGAAAACCGTGGATGAGAAATCATCCTCGAACCCGAACCCGCAAAACCCGAAACCCACGAAAATCCATATTTTTCCAATGTTATTCAACTCACTCGTGGAAAAACAGGAAATCAAATCTTCACATTCAGGCTCACTGATAATAAAGATAATACAGGAAATCTACAAAAGTTGACGCCTGTGTACATGCCATGCCAACGACCGCATTTATTTTATCAAAGCGAGAGGAGGGCCTACAGTAACCTAGTCAATGGCACAGTCCTGATAGCTGATAGGGAAAGATACGCGTTTACACTTTACACTCGCAAGCTTCTTCCACGGCTGGTCTGGGTTGATATTTTGACATGAGCCGCAGTGTCGTTATATATATTCAATAGCAAATGGAGTATATAAATATTTTACAGGATTATAACTTGTGCTTGGACGACAGACGCTGCTCTAACTTGTATAGACAGTACAAAAAGCTTGAAGATTTATCCAATAATTACACCATGTTTGAACACGCTAACACCGTCTAACTCGTACATGCACGTGAAAGCGTAAAGGACCACGAAAATAGTCCGTGCATTAATATTATCGGGAACATACCATGTATTGCTTGCACGGTTCATTTGGATATATTTAGCTTTAAGATGACAAAAAAAAAACAATCACATAAAACTTTTAATAAAAGACATAAAAATAACTCGCCGCTAGCAAGGCGGAGACAACCTTTGCTTGATACACAGGTTTTATTTGCCTGCACTCGTATTAGGGTGGAAATTAATTTTTCACATGAATCCACTTTAACACACATAAATTGAGGTGGATGCAAATGCCAAACAAGTCTGCAGTAGTTTAGCCCATGCTGAAGAGGCATGGAGACTTGGACTGGCGTCAACCTCAGCCTATCCAGGTGAGGGGCATGTCGACTGTGGATAAGAAGGGGAGGGTTAGGTTTTTTAAGAAAAATAGTTAGAGAACCTCTCCATCACAGCGTCCCTCAACTAAATTTGGGGGGCTCAAGCAAAAAAACACAGCTCCAACGGAGCCCCTATTCAAGCCTTCAAATTAGGGAGGCTCTCATATCCTATCCTTCTGCCCTCACACTTGCGAGTGTGGTCAAAACAAAGCTCTAACGCGTGGCCTCCTCGGTCGTGGTGCGTGTAGCTCAGTTGTCGAGCGAGTAAGAGAGAAATAGAGAATGACAAGTGGGTTATGTGAGTCATTCTGTGTTGGAATGAATTTGATGACCCTAATTTAGGATCTTCTAATGGAGTAGAGAAAAAGTCGAGCCCTCAAAAATAGAAAGAGTCCTCAAATTAAAAGTAGAGGCCTTGATTTAAAGGCTCGTGTTAGAGTGGCTTGTATCCGTGCAGCTTCCTCTATTTGAGTCCACTAAATTACAAGAGACAACGTTAACAGCTCTGGATTCTGCAAGATCTAGGAGCTATATACTAAAAAAAGCTTCTCCTGACTAGGACCTATGTGTTAGCCATGAGTTGATTTCAGTCAGTGGCCAACACCGCGGAGCTTTATGGAGGCGAAGGCTCTTGCTCTGAAGAGATTTCTGAACACAATATGTATACTCAATGTATTTAGCATAAACATCAGTTTCAAACTAGAGATTATTCATAATCCATCCGATTCCTACATCGATCTTCAGCCAAGGAGTTGGAGGAACATCATGTCTTTTGTGTTTGGCCTCTCTTGGTTTTGTGTCAAGCTCCGCCGCTGGTGGCCAATCTGGGCCGTCATGCGAATTATGTGTCTAACAACTAGCTGAGAAACCGTTCTTTATTTGGTCAACATCTGTACTATCTTCGTCCCTAAATAAATTAATTATTAAAATTATCTTAATTACGGAGTAAATATAACATTTTTATAGAACTTGTTAAAATTCAGGTGTCTGAATTTTAGTTTTCTTTCAGGCAACGGTTATTGCATATAGTTTTATATTAGAATTGCAGTTTTAGATTGTTGCAATTTCTGTAGGCACAATCTGCAATTTTTAGTTTTCGAGAATAAAAAATCTGTCAGACAAAATCACAAACCTGACAAAGTTTAGATTGGCACAAAGATAATTAACAATTTATAATTGTTTCTATAATCAGAACATGTTATGACACAAATACAAATAACAAATCATAAAGTAATAATTTTACTTGTACCAGTTGTTGGTATTACCTGAAATCATCTCGAAATTTAGGCACCTTCACATATATGAGAAGTGTCTTTTTATGTCCGACCAAATTTATAGCATGAGCATGCGCTCCGTCTCAACTTGCTGCATCTCGGTTGTCGCTGCCGAGTGGACGGTGCCTATTTTGCCCCTCGGCCCTTCTTTGGAACTTGGAAGTCAGGCCTTTGTGGCTACATTAAGCAACCACCGAACTTCTCTTTCCACCTGCACAATGGCGCACCATCTTGTGCCCCCGGCCGCCATTGTCGCAGCGGTCGTGTTTCATGCCCTGCGCCACGGGTTATCCATGGCCCTTTTGCGGCGAGAGCAATAACTTCAAGGCCAACAGCTCCTATCAGTCCCATCTCAGCCTCGTCGCCGCCTCCCTGCCCAAGAACGCCTCCACGTCCCCGAACCTCTTCGCCACCGCCGTCGTCGGCACCATCCCAGAGCAGCTCTGGGCTATGGGGCTCTGCCGCGGCGACGTCGATGCCACGGCCTGCTTCAACTGCCTCACCCAGGCCTTCCGAGACCTACCGAACGACTGCTCGTACAACAAGGACGCCACCATCTACTACAATCCCTGCATGCTCCACTACTCCAACGACCAATTACTCCCAGAAGACGACGACTCCGGAGGTCTGTACACCATCACCACCACAGGAAATGTCACTTCGGACCCCGTCCGGTTCAACCGTCTCGTGGCCGCGCTCGTGAATGCCACCGCCGACTACGCCGCATACAACTCCACGCGGCGGTTCGCCACGGGCGAGACCAGCGCCGACTTCGACTCGGAGTTCCCCAAAGTGTACAGTCTAGCGCAGTGCACGCCCGACCTGAAGGCGGCGCAGTGCCGAAAGTGCCTTGCGGCGATCATATCGCAAACGCTGGACGATTTCCAGAACCTTATCGGAGGCCGGGCGCTTTGGATCAACTGCACCTACCGGTACGAGGCCGCGCCCTTTTTCAATGGACCGGCGATGGTGCAGATAGCAGCACCGAGCTCTGTACCCGTGCCGGCGGCGGCGCCCACGTTGGCGCCAGCTATCCAGCCATCGTATGGGACGCCGGCGGCGGTGGCCGGCGTAGGTGAGTTTCCATCGACTGTGTCATATACTCGTATCTGACATGCCAAACATTAGGGTTCAAAATTTTAACTAAATTTCGCAGAAATTTTTATAGCGAATCCAAATGTTGTCCTTGCAAAGTTTGACGTGCATACATCATTCAGCAGGGGGGCGGAAGTACAGTTTGCCCAACGTGGTTGTTGCAGTCGTGCTGGCTACAGCAACAGCCTTGAACCTTGTAGTTTGCCTCTGTTTCTGGCGGCGGCGGCGGCGGCGGCGACCAACAGCACAGGCGAAGCAGCCATGTATGTTATTCTTGCAAAGTTCAGCAATTTTTTTACTTTATTTACAGCGTCAAACCTCGAAGAATTGACTTATATATACAACGCACCGTAATTTGAACAGATCCCAAGTACTCCACCGAAGCAGAGGACATGGAAATGGTGGACTCCATGATGATCGACGTCTCTACCCTACGAGCTGCCACCGATGATTTTGACGAGAGCAACAAGCTCGGCGAAGGTGGTTTCGGCGCTGTGTACAAGGTTGTGTTTGTGACACACAGGCGAGTATGCATGCATGTCTTGGGAGTTTGTAAATGGAAAACGCTCATGGATCTTTTGTATTTATTGATATATATGTTCAGGGCGTCCTCCCGGACGGTGACGAGATAGCTGTGAAGCGGTTATCGCAGTGCTCGACTCAGGGAATCGAGGAGCTGAAGAACGAGCTCGCGCTGGTAGCCAAGCTGAAGCACAAAAACGTCGTCAGGCTCGTCGGCATCTGCTTGGAGCAGCAGGAGCGCCTACTTGTCTACGAGTTCGTCCCCAACCGTAGCCTAGACCTGATCCTTTTCGGTATTGTTTCAATACTTCTCAAAGCAAAACTCTAAAAAATAGAGCTTAAAGTTGATATTATCATTGCATCATCGATCAATGATCACCAATATAATATATATATGTTGCTTGATGTTCGGTGTCATCAGATACTGAGAAACGTGAGCAGCTTAGCTGGGAGCAGAGGTACAAGATCATAAACGGCATCGCCCGAGGCCTGCAGTACCTCCATGAGGATTCCCAGCTCAAAGTAGTCCACCGTGATCTCAAGGCCAGCAACATCCTGCTGGACGCAAACATGAACCCCAAGATTTCGGACTTCGGCCTCGCGAGGATCTTCGGGCGGGACCAGACGCAGGCCGTCACGGACCGCGTCCTTGGCACCTAGTCAGTACAGTTCTGCGGCAAAACTAACTCTGTTCAAGTTCAGTAACCTGCTGCCTGTGGGTGTGGCAACCAAGTCACCGAAATTTTGCATAATTTGATTTACGTTCCAGTGGATACATGGCGCCGGAGTACTTGATGCGTGGGAACTACTCCACCAAATCAGATGCTTTTAGTTTCGGCGTCATGGTGATGGAGATCATCACGGGGAGGAAGAACGGCTGCTGCAACTCTGGGATGTCTGATGATCTCCTCGGCACCGTAAGTGTAATCTCATCACCATTATTGTTACATCGCTATATGTACACCGACACCGTGGTGAAGTTTGGCTCACCACAACAACCCGGCGCACCGAGCAGGTATGGGAGCACTGGGATGCCGGGACGGCGATGGAGACGGTGGACCCGTGCATGGCCGCCGGCAGCTTCTCTGAAGGCGACGTGCTGAGATGCATCCACATAGGGCTCTTGTGCGTGCAGCCAGACCCGGTTGCCCGGGCGGTTATGTCGTCGGTTCTCATGATGCTCGGGAGCGATATTATCACTCTCCAGGCCCCGTCTAAGCCGATGTTGTTTGCCAGGAACACAGCAGGCAACACGACCTTGTCGACGGTGTCGTTGCAGGGTTAGCCGTGGGTCTACATAGATTGAATAAATTCAGTGTGGCTGGCTTTTTGTATACACCTGAAAACTACTCCCTCCATTCTTAAATTATAGGGAGACGCTATATTTCAGGTGCCTGAAATCTAACATTTTTTTCAGGCGACAGTTGCCAGCCCTTACATTCACATCCAACGGTAACAGTATGAGTTGAGCGTTTCTATACCGAAGCAGGCTTAACGGGTCCGAAAATAACCGATACAGAGATCTGTTACTTAACGGACTCACAATAAAAACCCGTTAAGCATTTTGGAGCGTTTCTGTACCAAAGCAGCATTACGGGTATGCAAAAAAAAGCCCAGTACACAAATCTGTTCGTTGACAGCATCGCAACAAAAACCCGTTAAGTATTTTGGAGTTCAACCCGTTAAGTATTCTGTTATTCACATTGAATGGGGCTTTAGATATTGACCCAACAGCACATAGAACTGCGTATATCTATGTATACCCCAAGCAAACCCCTGCTACAAGAAACGAAAGGTATTTACATGTAGAATTTGGCCTTCTCTTGAATTCATCTCCATGTCCTTTGTTCTGTAATGATGGAAAGCTGAATCTGTAGTCAGTGAACCACCATTTTCTTAATTTTCACCACCTTGATGATGATTTGTTGAGGACAGTATTACTTGGTACTGCAAATTCACTATAGTGGGATTAGTATTTGATGATTTATTGAGGACACTAAAATTTAGATAGAAGACATATCACGAATTGCATAGAAATGAAGGCATACTCATTTGTACTTAGTAGTAAACAATGCACCATGTATACAATGTTGAAAAATTAAGAGCATACATAAGAAAAATTTACCTTGATCCAGAAAGATGGCCCACACGCCATACTAATAGCATGTGTAACTGACCTTTTTACAATATTTTGAATCTTACTTAAAAATAGATTTACTAAATAGTTTTGTTTATTAGAAACTGCTGGAGATGATCTTATTTATTTCTTCCAATATTTTTTGACGAGTTAGAAAACTCCATGATTTTGGGAAGAATTTTTTTAGAACCCTTGGAGATGCTCTTAGTTGTTTGATTGTATTGTTCTATCCGATGTGCTGCGTTGAGTCCATTGATACGGATTCTATATAACTTTTCGTCTCCCAATTTTTGTCTTAAAGCTATTATTAATTGTCGTCTTCTTTTCTTCTTTTATTAATACTAGTAAATATGCCCATGTGTTGCATCGGGACGGACAACTTGTTACATAGTCACCTAGATGACTAGCTTGTGACTCAGGAGATTTATTTTATGCCTGTTTTGGCGTTGCTCCTAGCAACTCTGGCTCCACGCGCACTGTATATTACTGTGTGACACTGTAGCATGGAGCAAAACAGCTCTGGTGCGGTAAAATATAGCTACGAACAAGGAGGAGACAGTGTTGGCGGGGCACCGGCGGCTCCGCCACAGCTACGTGAGGTTTGATGATTTATCAAATGACTGTCATGCACTTGAATTCGTCTTAATCGAATTCCGTGCTACTTCTGGCATATTGCTCTAACTCGTACGAGCAAGGAAGAGAGTAACAAACCATAAAAACGCTTTGTACTCACGTTCTTAGAGCATACTCCACACTGTGTGTAGATACGCTGCTCTAACTCGTACAACACGGGATAGAGCGAAGAACTACGAAAACACTATGTACTCTAGGTATAACATAGTTATATAGATAGATAGATAAACATGTAAAGACAAAGAAGTATATATAGAGATAAAGATGTGTTCATGCAAGAGGGGGCTAAGTCATTTTCGCTCCTCCTTTCTCTTTTTCATGTCTACAAAAATTAGGAGGGGCTTGAGCCCCACCCGCCCCACTGCCAGATCGCCCCGCCCCTTCATGGCATACATCTCGCAAGCATTATTATAATAATTTTCTATGAAATTTACTCTTTTTTCTCTGAAAAAAAATCAGCCCTTGGACCCTCCTATTCTATTGTCCCGTGGCCAGACGTTCTGATCCAGGCCGAACCCAAACAACGTCGTTGGCCTTTTGTTCTTGTCCTGTGTTCTATTCAGCACTTGATCAACACGTATTAATTTTTACTAGATATATGCCGTGCAATTAATTTTTATCGCACGTGGCCACTCCCATAAAAAAAAGGCCCCAATGCGGCCAACCGCCGGTAGCCCAACCACAACTCGTCTATCGCGCGAGGGGAGGCGAGCAACTTTTGCTTTTTTCTAGGCGTGCCGGCATCGGAAACGGGCGCATGCCAATGGTCGGTCTTTTTAACACGGGCAGGGCTAAGACGAGGCGGTAAGACGATGCCCGTAGTGATTTTTAGGTGTAGATAGAATTATTCCTTTCAATTATGCAAGTGCATACGTATTCTCACCCGCTTGTGTTAGCTATCTTCAAGAGTACCTAATATTTTTATTCTAAAAACATGAAGTTTTGGAACTCTAAAAAAATATAGGGAGGAATAAAAAATGCCATCTCCAAGAGTTTCGAATATTTTTATCTAAAAAATCCCAGATTTATGCCATCTCCAAGAGTTTCCAATACTTTCATCTCAAAAATCCTAGATTTATGATGTTTTGCATCAGAAACCCTGAATTTGTTTCTATACCCGTTCAGGAACCCCGAATTTGTTTCTATATCCGTTTAAGCCCTCCCACCAGATCTTTCTCTCTTGCGCTTTTCTCAGCTGGAACCCTGTCTTTTCTCCTTTTCCTTTCCCACCCCTTCTAACCCTGAATTTGTTTCTATACCGTTTAAGCCCTCCCATCAGATATTTCTCTCTTGCACTTTTGTCACATGGAACCCTGCCTTTTCTCCTTTTCCTTTCCCACCCCTTCTAACCCTGAATTTGTTTCTATACCGTTTAAGCCCTCCCACCAGATATTTCTCTCTTGCGTTTTTCTCACCCGGAACCCTATCTTTCCTCCTTTTTCTTTCCTACCCCTTCTACTTCTCAGACTCGGAGCGGGGCAACACACAGGAGTGGGACGACAGGCGGGGGCGTCCGACGATACCCTTAGAGATTTTTTATTTAGATGTATAGATGTATAGATACCTAACCAGCCTTGACCTTTTCTTTTTCTTTTTTGGCCATCATCAGCACGTCTGGCACAAGGAAGAAGCCAAGTTCGGCTACTTGTCTGTACACAGATATGTATGATCCGGACTCCGAAATCTATTGCGTGTCAAACACGCTCTACGCACCAACAGGACAGGGGGTCAAAGTCCTAAAGACTTCCGCATGATGACACAGGATTGGAGACGGAGACAGATGACTCGGCATTATAGATTAGAATTCCAATTCTTTTTTGGCCATCACCAGCACGTCTGGCACAAGGAAGCCAAGATCGGCTACTTGTCTGTACACAGATACGTGGCTTGTAACCGTGACTTGTTAGGATTTCTGGAACGTGACTTGGTCACGAAAAACTAAAAAATCTAGTACCACCTAATACAAAGGTATTTCGTCCACTCCGTAGCTTGGTGCGCGCGTCTCCGTCAAAAAATTCCCAGTCCGATACGAGTTATTACTGGTATCGTAGGAAGCTGCACATATATTTTTGATAGGAAAACTCAATCATCTCGAGAAGTATGAGAAATCATTAGTGGCTATATTTTTCCGGGCCCTTTAAGGTTATTTTAGAGTAAAAGGTCAATCATTATATGGCATAAGTATTAAAATTCTCTTGAGATGATTAGCACTCTACCTCCATCCGAGATCTCACATCAAGCTCTATCAATTATCTTAAGTAACATGATGCAGGTTTCAAATGATTACTTATGCTACTGTAGTATTTAAAAATATACTCTATGACCTAAAATCCGTATTTTAAAAAAAAAGTGTAAAAAGGCGAGTTAATAAAAGATACAATAAGCACAAGAGTTTTAAGTTGAGCACCAAAAAATCTGTAGCGGTCAATAAAACTAAAATTTTGTTGTCAAATAGAAAATAAAACTAAAATTTATGCTCATGACTTCATAAGATATGTGATGCAACAATAGCTGCCATAGTTAATGGTAAGATTTCAAATTAATTGCATATTTAAAATATACAAAGTAAAATTATGAATATAGATGAGAAACATATAAATCGATTCCTTGCAAAGAAAAGTTAATTAATAAGTTTATGATGATTGATACAGACCGTGGAGTATCTATTATGTAGAAAATAGACAAAGAGAAAAACATACAATTTAATATAAACAATTATTTATTAGTCAGATGTATTGAACACTGTATCTCTTGAAATTTTAGCCTGTTCGAGAGCATGGGTCGATGGACTAGTCTAATAGTTCACAAATAGAAACGGAACATAACGTACAACATTTTGCGTGACATTTCTTCTATATTCATTTTTTCTTGATATTTGCAGTGAAAAAGATTTTTTTTTTGAAATGATCGGCAGGAGCTCTGCCAAACTTGTACTGATATAGAAGGGAGCAGTGGAAGAGATGTTCTTATGTTGCTTTATCGAGACGTCAGTTCGTCGTTGGCCAAACTTTTATCTTCGTCAACGATGTTAGTGCCCGTTCGCACGCGCACACTCATACATGCTAGTGCAGCTTCGCACGCGGCACGCGGGCAACTTGTTGTGAGCTGTGAACCGACGATTGATAAGTTTATGATGATTGATACAGACCGTGGAGTATGTATTATGTAGAAAATAGACAAAGAGAAAAACATACAATTTAATATAAACAATTATTTATTAGTCAGATGTATTGAACACTATATCTCTTGAAATTTTAGCCTGCTCGAGAGCATGGGTCGATGGACTAGTCTAATAGTTCACAAATAGAAACATAACATAATAACGTACAACATTTTGCGTGACATTTCTTCTATATTCATTTTTCTTGATATTTGCAGTGAAAAAGATTTTTTTTTTGAAATGATGGGCAGGAGCTCTGCCAAACTTGTACTGATATACAAGGGAGCAGTGAAAGAGATGTTCTTATGTTGCTTTATCGAGACGTCAGTTCGTCGTTCGCCAAACTTTTATCTTC